AAGGTCATAGCGCAGGATGGTTTCCTTTCTTTGAGCCATGAGTCGCAATGGGTCGTTGTATCTACTTTACCGAATAACTCACTTGTAGTTGTTGTCTCGAGGCTGCAATGGCTTTCACATCTGATGGTCCAGTTCCATGTCAAATTGCTATGACTCTTCTGGGGTCCGTAGTGAGTACAAGTCCATGGAGAAGCATTGCACGATCTCCGCAGCATTCTTTCATGGCTGTCATGAGTTAACCAAACCATGGCTTCAATAGCCTTGCTCATATCGTGGTGAGATCTTTCCACTTCTTACATTTTAGGTCTCAAAATGGTTATTTTTGAGGGGGGCAGAGTCCCTCAATAATATATTGGATTCCATGTCGTTTCTCGTGCTATGATAATTTATTACTCATTAATAAATCTACAAGTGCATGAGTAGGTATTTTGTCAGGATCAGAGAACCATCTTGGTTTATCATGGTGCTTGTGCTCGAGAGGCATCATCATCCGAATACTATATCCTTGACAATTATCAGGAAAGAATTCAGACGCATTCTTCCTCTAAACCAAGGTACGCTTAAACGAGCCTTTGGGTATGCCTCATTGATCAAGGAGAACGACATATTTCACACTGTTTACATAAGCATGTCATTATTATGCTTGCAATACATGTCTCGGACTAAGTTGCAGGATAAACATACCCCGAGAAAACTAGGGCAAAATAGGCAGAGATGCATAACTCTCACAGCTAATCCCTCGAGGATAGCAGTAACATCAAGTTCGCTTTGACCTTAGGGCATTTATACTTTAAACCCGGGATATAGACTATCGGTCTAATGTACATAGTGGTAACCCATTAGAGAACTCATGGGAGCTAGCGTATCACATATACCCAGTTACACCCAGTTAAACACGACTAGTCATTTGAACGGACATCCCCTTCATGACCGTTCTCAAGACGGACATTCTCTTCAGGACCGTCCTCGAAAGTGCCATGTATTCAACATCCGGACATTCATTGGGTCATGCTACCCTTAACTGTTATGACTAACAGTCTAAACTCTAGGAGCTCGTATCCAGTTTCCTCACGGATATCCTCTTCAAGATCATCCTTGAAAAGACACTCTCTTCAGAATCGTCTTTACAAAGGTATCCTCTCTAGGATCGCCTACAAAAGAGCCGTGTACTTAACATCCGGCCATTATAAAAGCACTATACAAATAACTCATAAGCCGTATACTCGACATCCGGTATTGAGAAAGGCCTAGATTGTCATGTTCATGAACAAGGGGTGGACTATCTATCAAAGCTAAATACACGTGTTTTATACCTCAATGAGAACTAGGCTTGTTCTCGAGTAAACTTTCTTGGATCGATCTATTATCTCATCCAATGCATCAGAAATAAAATGTCTTTATTCTCGATGTTCTCGAGTTCACTTTGTGCCTTGTCAACACAGGCCTGTTCCTTTGATAATGGCGGTTGCCATCCATCTTCTTCTGATAGAAGCCATTTTATTGCCTTAACCCTACGAGTATGGAGGCTTCTTGAGTAGGCATCGCCTTGAACTGAGCAGTGGAAGTTACACTCTCATGATATTCTTATCTAAAAGTCTCGATCTGCCAAATGCCACCCCAAGACTTGGGGGCTCCGAGATAAGTAATGGTTCCGGGGTTATCTATAACAAGAAACGTTTATATATGGGAGATTGTAAGGTGTCTGAAAGGTGTGTAATGTATCTGGAAGGTGTGTAAGGTGTTTGGGAGGTTGTGTTTTTGTTTTTTTTTTTTTTTTGTGATGATCATGGGTCTACGGATCTCTTCCTATGACTTTACTCAACGATCTTTAATTAATGCTCAAACTGGGGCATTGTTTCTTCTCACACTAATGTGTAAAAGTTTCGAGCAACGATATTATACATCTACTCGGGTTCGATACATCAACCTCATTTATACTTCTCAAACCCGGACTAAGGGTTCTATGCTTTATTTCTCGGGACATGAGAAATGGCAAACGGGTCGGTTGGGCGGATATAAATAAGCTTAAATGCTTGAGTACCTTCTTCAAGATTAGACAGTTACAATTCTTGAGTTTGGTCTAGCTCTCTGCTCGAGAGAATCTTCTCGAGTCTCTGGATTTCTTAACCCCAGACAATGTTCCTTCTCAAACTTATGTCCTCGACATCGAGTATTCTCCATCTTCATTCACCATACTTCTCTCTGGTTATTCTTGAGGTTTGAGTCTATTACTTCTCGATCAGAAGCATACATCACAGTTCTCCAGTAGACTCCTCATTTCGACGGTTGATATATCTTAGTCACTGCTAATGGCGCATATTTCGAGACTAGTGAGAATCTCCATTACTTTTCTTTCTCGATTCTCATAACAAGCGGGTCACCTGTTTTGATATTTCCCTGGAGCATAACGTAGAAGTCATCGTGCAAGGCCTTCTCGACTAACGTTTGAGTCAATGACGTGAATTGCAATTTTTGGCCAAATTCTTCATTCTGATAGTCGTTGAACCTTTGGAATTATTGATAACACATCTTCATATTCCGAGTAGTTGACATCTCCACTACACTTCTATATAATCTTCTCAAGCAACAAGGCATCTGCCTTAGTATCTCCATGGGGCAGATTATTAAATATCATCACCTATCGACTTCTCACTCGAAAGTTTGAACTGATGACTCTTCTTTCTTCACAAATTAGCATAAATATCAATCGCCCGTTGTAACATGTATATTCAACAAGGTACAAGCTAATGCTTTCATTACTTTGATTTCTTCTCGATGCTAACCTGTCGAAGGTTCTCGATTCAAGTCAATTCTTCCCCAAATTGAGGAAACATTTATACATCGTGTTATCAAGCTTACCCCATATTCAGACTTCGAAGTATAGGCCTGATAATGGGCACTTGACGAGTCCAAATTAGTACGGCCTGCGACTAGGCCGGCCCAAGTTCGGTGAAAGGTCCAATCGGCCCTGGAAGCTTCTAGGGCGGTTGCTAATTACTTTCCTACCAAGAAAAGGATTTCACAAACAGGTAACCCTAGTGCTATAAAGAGGGATCAACCCCTTACATGAAATGCACGCTTTATGCACCTAGTTTATACCCTTATTACGAATACTCTTACTGACTTAAGTATCGGAGAGTCTGCCCTCGGGAGACTCCGAGGCCTTCTTTTGCAGGTTTTAGGGTTTTGACACTTCCACGGCCGCCGGCTCAATCAACTGGAGACGTCGGTACAAATCTATGCTTCGTCATCTGGATAGAGGTATTACTACACGTTAATGACAAGTATAACGGACTATGCAATGAGAGTATGCATAAGTGATATTCAATAACAATTACTTTCTTTTTAACTGCAGATCCCATATTAAATTATAAACCATGCTCACTAATACAATTAGTAGTTTACTAACCCTAACCACTATTCATAGTCACTAGCATATCATACTTGCAACCAAATACGTTAAAGGACCAGATGCACTTTTCGTCCCCCATCTTTTGAGAGTAGCAAGATCGAGTCACCAAGAATTTTTAATTGGCAGAAACAGTTTCCTAAAATGTTTTTCTCATCAATTTCGGTTAATTTAACAGAAATTTTTCAAGCTTAACGGGTCAAACTTGTTGACCGTTAAATCTTTAATTTTTTATTAATTTCCTAAACAGTGGGGTCCACTAGTTTAACACAAACAAAAAAAAAATTTCTTTTTTTCTTTTTCCTTTTTCATTTCTTTTTATTAAAGTTTTTTTCTCAACAACAAAAATATCAAAAATCGTTTTTCTTTTAATGAAATTTCTTTTCTATTCCCAAATTATTTTTAAAACTAATAATAGTTGCCCATTAATTGACGTTGTTTCTTATTGTTTTCCTTTTCCAATTACTTCTTTTATCTTAACTTTTCCTCAAGCCCATTAAATTATTACTAATTTTATTTTTCATTCACTCTAAAAGATAAACAACCTCATTAATTAACTAATTCCAAAAAAAAAAAAAAAACCTTTATTTTCCTCTTCCTCATCCCAGCATCCACGACCCCCACTTCCTTCGCCTCTCAATTACAAAGAACAAACAAGAAATAGCCATACTTTATGTAAAAAAACCCAATCTTTGGACATCACCATCTTTTAAAAATTGGAATTAAAATGGAACCAAATATTGCCTTGGGCATCAAATCTCAGGATGGATGTACACAGAACCAGCAGAATGAGAAAAGAAATGTGAAAATGGTGAAACATTCTTCTTGTGAGATTCTGACGGTTACCCATTTCACTTCAGAGGATAGATGATTTTTATCGGTAAACTGAGTAATAAATAGAGAGACTTCAGAATGGATAATAGCTGGAGAAATTGAGAGTTGAAGGAGATAGGAATCATAGTTGGTAATCTGATTCAACAGTACAATGGGAGAAAACATACTCAAGTTCATCCATTCTTTTCTCATCAGCATGGTTATTGATTTCAGATTTCACCAAGAAATATCCACTATTCAATATATCCATAGCCTTCTTTTCAAACTCACGCCCCAGACAATCAAAACATAACATTTAGGTAGCCCAGCATACAATGGAATCTGGGATTCGAACCCCATGTTCCGTCTTCAATCTCGGGATTGACTCCATAATTGATTTCATCAGGTCGATTGCTCTTCATCCCTGTCGATCGCTTCCATAAGTTGCCAAGGAATCTGATGAAGCAAGACTGGTGCGGCAGGATGAACTGATGGATGGTGGTGGTGGCGGGTTGGTGGCGGCGGCAGCGGGGTGAGAGGAAGAGAAATGGGTTGGGTTTTTTGAGTTATTATGTTTTTTTTGGGGGTTTTTTGTTTTAATTTTTTAACAATTAAAATCTAAATAAAAAACTTTATGGGCCCCGCATCAATCACTTTTTTAATTATATTAAAATTTAATAAAAACTGAAAATAAAAGAAAATTATTAGGGTCAAATTAGTTGGCCCAACAGCTTTAGAAATTAATAAAAATTAAGAGTTTAACGAAACAAAAGTTTGACCATTAAGTCTTTAAAAATTCTGTTAAATTGACTAAAATTGATAACAAAAATATTTTAAGAGACTAGTTTGACCAGGGATGTTGCTACTCTCAAAAGTTGGGCGATGAAAAGTGCATTTTGTCCTACGTTAAAATAATCCAAAATCATTGAGTCAATCATAGTCAGTTTCATATTCAGCAGACTTAATTCTAATGGAGGAAAAAGAAACTAACGAGCTAGGTTTTCCATTGGAACGAATTCTTAATCTGGTAATAATATTTCAAATTCATATTCTGGTAGCTCATTTGGAAATGCATAGAACAACCCACACAAACTGGTTCTCAAGAAAGACACACATGCACTGGTACTAAAGCAATAAATTTCAGCAGGCCAATCTTAACATACAACAGTACCATTGAAGTTTGCTTTTGCACAAAGCTATTCTGATAAATACATGGACCTCAAGAAATCAAGTCACATTTTTCAAGAAGATTGAAAAAGGTAGCATTTTTATTTTCTTGACATTTTCTTGGCTCCAATATTTTATAGATCTTTGCTCAAACTACATCCTCTCATGAAGATTTGGTTGCATTGGCTGCACCCTGAAGGCAAAAGGCATCTGAGATTGGTAGTCTCTGACCCTCTGATAAACATCATGATCATGATTCTGCTGATCAGTACCCACTCCACTGCCCTTCATGTTGGCCAGTTCTTGCTGATGCTGCAAATTCAACCAAAACCCAAACAGAAATTTGTTATCTTTTCTTGATTTACAACCCAAATGGGAGAAATTATCTCAAGCATATATATTATTCATATGGCAGCCCAACTACTCAAAAAATGTTTTCTGTTTTTCATTTTCTTTTTGGCTATATTAATACAATCTACTTCTACGTAAAATTGAGATCGTCTTACTGTTTATGGACTAGTCCTGTTTCATTAACACCGCAACAAAGGGATTTCAGTAGAAATACGGAAGTAAATTTGTACTCCCTCAGTCCCAAACAATTTATTGTCTAGTTTGAATTTTTAATTTTAATTCAATTTTGTAATAAAAATGAAAATCCAAACTGGATATTAATTTCGGTCGGGAGGGAGGGAGGGAGTAAAATTTATGGATTGATAAAGTATGCTATCACACTTCGATAATGACACATTGTTGTTACACTGAAAGAAGTTGCGATTGAAATACAGTATAAAGAGTGAAAACTCACCCACATGTACTGGAGCTGCTTGTGCTCCTCCTCCAACATTTGATCCTAAGACAATTTTCAACCGAAATGCATCAGAATTTTTGTTTCCTTTCTGTTTGGTAATGTAATGTAAATTTGGAAATATAACTAGGATAATAAGGCACTATGTATGTATGGTCCATTATATATGTTGAAACACAGAAATAAAAAAAGTGCTGTTTTATCACTTACATTTTTCCTCATCATCCTCACAATCTCACTCTGTCAAAGGAAAATTGAAGGGATAATGTTAATGCTGCAAGAAACTTTTAATTAAAAGTTAATTAACAAAATCTAACAATACATACGAATTTTCACACACCTGTTTATCGCGTAGACCAACAAGGCCATTCTCAAGGGCTTCTTCTAAGGCCATCAGTTCTTTGTGGTTCAAATTTGAGATATCTTCACCTTTCAGGTGCCTTAATGACGTTCAGAAAAGAACACCCAGAAAAAATAAAAAATTGAATTAAGTAACTTATCAAATTAAGGCGTGAAATATAACAAAATGTAATTAAACCCCTTCAGAAAAAAAAGAAAAAATAAAATATAAATTGCACTTTACCTCAGCTCAATCTGCATAGAGTCGTTCTCTTTCTTGACCCGATCGATTTCATTACTTAAAGCCTGCTTACATAAAATATAAAAAATTAAAAGAAGCAAAAAATAAATAATAATAATAATAATAATTGAAGAAGAATAAGAAGAGAGAAACTCCAGTGTTTTGAATATAAAAGAAAATTACAGATCTATGAACTAATTGTAGATCCAAACCTAGGAAATGTGTTTTTGAGCTTTTTTGGTGCTAAGGAACTGATAGTGGAGGTAATATAGAAACATCAATCTTGCAAGTTAAGGGAAAGGGAGAGAATAACATAGTTTTGCCAGATCTATGATTTAAGATGGAACATTTCAAACTTTTTCTATTTTTGTAATAGAAAAATTGACATAAAAAAAGGAGTAAAAATATTCATACAATATTGAAGAAAAGTAGAAGAGGGGGTAGTTCCAACCCTAGCTATTTGTAGATCTGTTCCTAGAATTCATGTTTCAAGATACTTGACATATTTTTAGCAAAAAATCCCATGTCTTCTCCCAAGAAATAACCCCCCAAAAAACCAGATTTTATCAGAGAAATATCCAGACAACAAAAGATTGTATCATCTGTTTGAAGAAAACATATGAATTAATAACTGAACTCAAACTCTATACCTCATGCTTAGCATCCCATAGCTTCTTCCCAGTTGACCTTTGGTAAGCATCCAGCATATCAACCAAACTTCAAGAAAAAAAAAAAGGGTCAAAAGGGTTAACCTTAATCATCACAAAGAACCTCAAAAATCACACATAATAAGAATAAAAGAAGAGAAGAAAGAAGCCCTACTTAGTTGAAGGACTGATGTAATCATGCATCTTTCCAGAAGTACCAAAGATGATGAGGGAAACCTTAGCATCACAAAGAACAGTGATTTCCTTAGCCTTTTTCATGATCCCAGTTCTTCTTTTCGAGTAAGTCACTTGTCTGTTGCTTGAGTTCTCAATCCTCTTGATCTCAATCTTACCTCTCCCCATTTTTTTCTTCTTCTTCTTTCTTTCCTTTTTTCTTTATTTTTTTTTCTTTTTGTTTCCTCCTTATCTTCTGTCTTCTTCTGTCAATGAATATGAGAAATGAAATAAGCAATGAGGAAGATGAGATATAAAGAGGGGAAGGAAAGAGAGAGGAAAGTAGTTTTGGGAGAGTTCTATTTTAGGTTTGGTAGACAATAAACTTTCATAAGGGTTCAGGAAAGATTGTTCGTTTTGGGGTTTTGACAAAGCCAAGCCATCTGTTATATCTGTTTTCACATCTGATTTCTTCTTTTTTTTTTTTTTTTTTGGGTTTGAGATTGAATTTGATTTGATATAGGTTTCGTTGTTAGTTTCACTACTTAAAACCCTTTTATATTAATGCACCACCTTAATGTCCTTTGGTTTCTTTTATCCACTTCAGCTATTAGAGATTGGTATAATTCCAATGCATTTCTATATTCATAAAAGCTGATACATGTATTGCTAAGGCATGTGGGTACCTAAGAAATCTGATCTTGGGTTAAATGGTTGATTTCTTTTAAGATTGTGAGTATGAATTTTAGTGTATACGTTAATTATGTCTCACTAGTGAAATGACGTACGCGATTAATTTTGTGACTTCTGTTTTTCTCATTTTGTAGCATATCCTTATTATTAGAAAAATTGTAGGATAATTGATTACATCTTCATACTTAAAAGTTTTTCATTTTGAAAGAATGAATAAGTAATAAAAAAAGAGGTAACAACCTCTTGATGTATTCAAATCTTCTTTAGTCATTCATTAGTGCTACTTGGTTTATTAGTTTCCACTCCTAGTTACGTTCTTTTTTCTTAAATGAAAAAAAATATACAATAGCTCTTGATACTCTCCAACAACCACATGCGTCAAGCAAATGTTGCGATTTTGGAACCATGTATCTTTAGACCTTAAGAGACCTCCATGGATGCGTGGCTTTTCCTTTAAAAAATATATATATTTTTTAATCAACGTTATATGTATTTCAAGCAAATATAGCTAATAATTTCTGTCACATAAAATAATTTACTCTAGTTTACTAAATCAATATAACAAAATGGATAATTTATCAGGAATAGAGAAAGTGCTTCCCCTGCACCAAAATATTTAAATAACAATTAAAAAATTCACCAAAACGAAGCAAAATAGGAACTGGCATTAGTTTTCTATATATGCTGCTCTTATTAAAGTAGGGATCAACACTGAAAAATAATCCCCATTGATATAATAATTGAAAAGAATAATTTCCGAAATGAAAAAGAATACAAGCTGGAAAATACTAGATGACTTACAATCAGGCTTACATATAATTAAACAAGAAAACTGTATCTTAGAAAGAGAGAGGTCCGAACTTGTATAAAGTGATTACTGTATGTATTATAAAATCATGTAATGCATAATTCCAATAGTCCATAGATGTTCCAAAAAAAAAATCTCAAAAAAAGAAAAACAAAAACAAAAACAAAAAAAGAAAAAAAACCTTAAAGTTTGTGAAAAATCCTTAAACTTAGCGAAAGACTCTGGTCTAGGGTTTGCGTACGTAATAGAACATACAAAATCACCAAAGTGCACAATGGTGTTTGCCTTTACTTTAAACCCAAAAAATTTAAGAAAATAAAAATCTAAACCATCAAATCAGATCAAAAATCAAAAGAGTGATACTATATAATATATGTCTGAAGGGTCAAATCTCATAGCTCAAAAGTCATGTTTTCTTAATTTTTGCAACCCCTCAAGTGGGGAAAAGAATATATATACATAGTCACAGCACAATCTCCAGTCAAACTGTGTCTAAAAGCCTAGTACATGAGTTATCAATCAAAAAACAGAAGCAGCCCTTTTGGTTGCATATGTTATAGCTAGCTAGTGGCAACTGTGGCATAGCTTTGATATGATTTCCGATCCATGCCATCTTTCTTTCTCTTCAAAATGATTTTTTTCTCATGTTTTAATAGTACTCTTCATCTGTTCAAAAATCTTGTCATATTTTTAGTAAACAAATGTAACCTTCTTTCTTTTTTTTTTTTTTTTTCCCTTTTTTGACAGAGAAATGATAGGCTGCTCTTCTGGGGTTTTTTTTTTTTTCTTTTTTTTTGGTTTTGTTTTGTTTCTTATGTAAATCTTTGTAAACAAATTTCGTTATCTTGACTGGAGAAGTTGGGGAGTTCAATGAAGTAGAAAACTGCAACCTAAGTTACAGTGGAAAATGTCCGTGGATACTTTTCTTTTTTTTTTTTTTTGAAAAAATAATCTTGATTTAAATGAGATGGCGCCTCTATATATTATATTTTTGATAAGCCTCCAATTGTTAAATAGGAAACTTAATTTTGCTCAATGTCTTTAAAAGGCATTTATTTACGGCAAATTATCCAGTATATCCGGGGCACCGTGCCCCCCTCTTATTTTTTATATTTTTAGCCCTTATTGTACTTTTTATCCATTTTTCTATATTTTACAAGTATAGTCCCTGTCATTTTTTCTCTCTCTTCCAAAAAAAACATCTCTAATCTTTCAACGACCATATCTCCCAATCCGTGAAGAATTTGTGAACGAATTATATATAAAATTTATAGTACTCGCCGAGATCTATCCAACAAAATCCATAGTGAATATTTTTTCGGGCTTAAAAATGACTTAATTCTGATGGACAGAATAGGGGTGGATATCCAGTTTTACAAGATGGATAACCAACTTGTTCTAAATTGGTTATCCATTGTGTTCATGCTGATTATCCAATCAGTTTGAACTGGTTATCCATTTTGTTTCTACTGCTTATTCATTTGGTTATCCAACTTCTTAATTCAAAATAAGTTGGTTATCCATCTTCTTAAACTGGATATCCAATGTGTTCATATTGATTATCCAATGTGCTAATACTACTTATCCAATGGATTTACATGCTTATCCAAAGTATTTGTACTGGTTATCCACTGTGTTCATGCTGATTATCCAACTTGTTTGTACTGGATATCCATCCATTTGGTTTGTATGCATATCCAACTCTAATCTTTCAACGAGCATATCTCCCAATCCGTGACGAATTTGTGAACGAATTATATATGAAATTTATATTACTCGTCGAGATCTATCCAACGAAATCCACAGTGAATATTTTTTCGGGCTTAAAAATGACTTAATTCTGACGGGCAGAATAGAGGTGGTTATCCATTTTTTTTTTTTTGAAGAGTGAATGTCAAACATATGATTGGATAACAAGTACGAACCGAATGGATAATCACTTCAGACCGGTTGGATAATCAGCATGAACACAACGGATAACCATTTTTCAAAGAAAAACGAAAAACACATTTCTTCATTTTCTGCCCGTAAAGTTTAAATGCATTTAAAGTTCAAAAAAATATTCAACATTGATCTTATCGGATAGATCTCGTCGAGCACTATAAATTTCATATATAATTCGTGTTATAATTCTTTACGGATCAAAAGATACAAGGAACACAACAATATGAATGTGAAATAAGTTGGTTATCCATCTTCTCAAACTGGATATCCACTGTGTTCATGTTGATTATCCAATGCGCTAATACTAGTTATCCAATGGGTTTACATGGTTATCCAAATTGTTTGAACTGGTTATCCAATGTGTTCATATTGATTATCCAATGCGCTAATACTGGTTATCCACTGCGTTCATGTTGATTATCCAACTTGTTTGTACTGGATATCCACTGTGTTCATGCATATCCAACTCTAATCTTTCAACGAGCATATCTCCCAATCTGTGAAGAATTTGTGAACGAATTATATATGAAATTTATAGTACTCGTCGAGATCTATCCAACGAAATCCACAGTGAACATTTTTTCGGGCTTAAAAATGACTTAATTCTGACGGGCAGAATAGAGGTGGTTATCCATCTTTTTTTTTTGAAGAGTGAATGTCAAACATATGATTGGATAACAAGTACGAACCGAATGGATAATCACTCCAAACCGGTTGGATAATCAGTAGGAACACAACGGATAACCATTTTTCAAAGAAAAACGAAAAACACATTTCTTCATTTTCTGCCCGTAAAGTTTAAATGCATTTAAAGTTCAAAAAAATATTCAACATTGATCTTATCGGATAGATCTCGTCGAGCACTATAAATTTCATATATAATTCGTGTTATAATTCTTTACGGATCAAAAGATACAAGGAACACAACAATATGAATGTGAAATAAGTTGGTTATCCATCTTCTCAAACTGGATATCCACTGTGTTCATGTTGATTATCCAATGCGCTAATACTAGTTATCCAATGGGTTTACATGGTTATCCAAATTGTTTGAACTGGTTATCCAATGTGTTCATATTGATTATCCAATGCGCTAATACTGGTTATCCACTGCGTTCATGTTGATTATCCAACTTGTTTGTACTGGATATCCACTGTGTTCATGCATATCCAACTCTAATCTTTCAACGAGCATATCTCCCAATCTGTGAAGAATTTGTGAACGAATTATATATGAAATTTATAGTACTCGTCGAGATCTATCCAACGAAATCCACAGTGAACATTTTTTCGGGCTTAAAAATGACTTAATTCTGACGGGCAGAATAGAGGTGGTTATCCATCTTTTTTTTTTTTTGAAGAGTGAATGTCAAACATATGATTGGATAACAAGTACGAGTAGAATGGATAATCAGTCCAAACCGGTTGGATAATCAGTAGGAACACAACGGATAACCATTTTTCAAAGAAAAACAAAAAACGCATTTCTTCATTTCTGCCCGTAAAATTTAAATGCATTTAAAGTTCAAAAAAAATATTCAACATGGATCTTATCGGATAGATCTCGTCGAGTACTATAAATTTCATATATAATTCGTGTTATAATTCTTTACGAATCATTAGATACAAGGAAAATAATAATATGAATGTAAAATGAGTTGGTTATCCATCTTTTTAAACTGGATATCCATTCTATTCATACTGGTTATCCAACTTATTTGTACTGAATATCCATCCATTTGGTTTGTATGCATATCCAACTCTAATCTTTCAACGAGCATATCTCCCAATCCGTGAAGAATTTGTGAACGAATTATATGAAATTTATAGTACTCGTCGAGATCTATCCAACGAAATCCACAGTGAACATTTTCTCGGGCTTAAAAATGACTTAATTCTGATGGACAGATTATCCAACTAATTGGTATTATTTATCCAACCTGGTTTTTTGTTTTTATTATTTTTTTAAAAAATAATAAACTAAGTTGGTTATCCAACTCGTTTGTATTGGTTTTCCAATCATTGTTTTGTATTGGATTATCCAATGCACTAATGCTAGTTATCCAATGGATTTACATGGTTATCCAAATTGTTTGAACTAGTTATCCACTTTGTTCAAACTGGTTATCCAACTCGTGCATACTGATTATCCAACTTACTGGATATCCAACTTATTCTGCCCATCAAAATTTAGTCATTTTTAAACTCAAAAAAAAATATTAGAAATGGACCTTATTGAATAGATCTCGATGAGTACTATAATTTTCATGCATAACACGTTCTCTAATTCTTTACAGATTCTGAGATATGGTCATTGAAAGATTGGAGATATTTTTTAAAGGAGAGAGAAAAAAAAGTCACATGGACTAAACTTGTAAAATATAGAAAGATTGAGAAAAAGTTACAATAAGGACTAAAAATGCAAAAAATAGGAGGGGGGCACGGTACCCCGGGTATACTGGATACAGCCTCTTATTTACCACTCGGTTCATATAATTTCCAAAACAACTTTAAGAGTTTAGAACAAATAAAAAGATGTTAACGACTAAAATAACACAATGAAGCGACTATGATGAATTTAATTAAGAAGAGTGTAAAACGAATAGAAATCTTGACGAATTTAGAGCTTTTAGCTGAATTTGGAGTAAAATTATGGATAGGATGGTTTCTTATTCTCGTAATCTAACACTCGGAGAAGATTAAAAGCAAAAGAAAATTAAAATAAAAATAAAATCTTGTTGAGCTTGGTTACTCAAGACAGAGAAGGAAAGAGCATGTTACCCACGAATAAAATAGCCCGGTCGCTAGCTTCTTTTTTGATGAGGAAAAGAAACGAATGATCGGTTCTCAAGATTTGTGGAAAAAATTTTGGAGTTAGAAGGTGATTACCAACAATAGAATGTACCATGTCAACCTGCACTACTTGCGTAAAAGGCAAAACGAGACCAAGTTCTTTAACTCAAGATTTTTAATTTTGTAGTAGCAATAAACTTGAGGATAATATTAACCTCCCGTCCTTAGTTATTGAAGAGATACATCTCATACAAGTACATAGAAAAGCATCGATTTCTTCATTTCGTTCCAAACAAAGAAGCAACATTTGGAAACTATTTGTATATTTTTAGGCACTTGTACACTGATTCTCCCCACTAGTCATAAAAGGGGTTGAAACTTGAAAGGCCTGCTGCTCCTTTTATCATCCATCGTCTCCTTTCAAATACATGGCCTTTGCAAGAATCAACCCTTTTGCATTCATGGCTTTCAATGAAGAACATCCCACCATTCAACTTTCAATGAAGTTTCCAGTTTTTCTCGTTCCATTTTCCAGGGACAAATAAAGGTAAAAAGATTACACTGAATTAATAATATAGGCAAGCCTCAGAAACTTCTCCTGATTGAAGTGAATTGCGAGGGGTACCCTTTTTTTTTTCCCGAGTTCAGTCTACATCTGCGCTTGCTAAGCTGCAAAAAATGCTCATTACCTTGGGGGGCCGGCGGGCCTCTTTGAGGGGAGGAATCATTCTCCGGGGTTTACAAATGAAAACCTTAGCAACTAAAACCAATTTGAAACACTAAAATCTCTCAGCTTCCTCAGGTGTCTTTCCATGTCTTCCCTACTTTTTTGCCACTCTTCCTTCTCTATTACTGTTGATGGACTATCTCTTTCCTCCTGAAGGGTGAAAAGAAAGGATCAGCAATCGAAGGATCAGGACTCTAAAAACCTAGAAAATGAAAGATGGACGAAGAGTTACCGAAGGGATTATCTTGAAAGAGTTTCCAGCATCTCGGATGACCAGCAGATCATTCTTTCTATCCCTGTTCTTTCCTTCTGGCACGGTCACCTTATCACAAAGAACAAGGAAACAATAAGTAAACATAAAACAAAATTGAGTGCTTATATTGCTGACAGATTTCAAGCTATTGCGAATAAAAGCAGCAGTACATATATTACAGAAAAAAGTTTCAATTATCTACGTTATGGCCAATGACTCCCCAAATCAAAAAAAACTAATACCATTCGGAATAGTTATATCACCAAAAAATTGCTGAAATCCCATACAGCAGCACAATGATGGATATGTGTTTTTCAGATTGTGTTAGTCAAATATGCCATGCAAAGCTCATGGCGGAGTGAGATCACCAAAAGTGCTGGGCGAAACAACTATCAACTAAACCAATCCCTTTTAACTGAAATCTTTCAAACAGATGCCAGTTCTATCATCCATCTTCCCATGATCAACAAGCGTAAGCTTATGAACATCATTTGCTTGACTACGGCACTTTTTAAATAGTTATTACATCACGCTGATCTCTCGTTCATAAGGGGAAACAGAAGAAAGAACTCTAAATTACTTGCACTTAAAATTCACCTAAAGAAACCTGAACAAAAATAAGCTTGGTGAACTGACTGATGTCTTCCCTCCCCATCTTCTCTTGTATAACTTAAAGAGAACATAACTAAAGAGAATAAAACGAGAAAAAGAAGGCCAATGTAATTAATCAATGTGCTACGCCAACCTACAGATAGACTATCCTCTGTATGGAGGTTTATCTGAAACAGTAGTCAAAGATCTCTCACTACGTCCTAGTTAACTGACCAATTCCAATTTAAAGGGAAGAAAAGATGCAAGACGGATTAGTTAGTTTCCAAAGTAACATTTCTGACATTAATTAAACCAGAAACTTAGATGACTGAAACTAGAATTATTTAAGCACCGCACGAATATGACCAACATAAACACTAAACAGACTCAAAAATGAGAAAAAAAAAGTGATGTTTTAACTGCTAAGCATCATTAGAACAAAAGACAAAATAGTAATAAACCTGGTCTATAATTCCTATACATTTGGATGAAAGGCACTCTGGAAATCAACATTAAATACTAGTAGTAATGAAGGCTAATGTAATTCCTTACCACCACTTTTGCCCTTGTAATTGATTTTGTCTTTGAATCAATTACATAGATCTCCTCAAAATCTAGCATAAATTCAGGATCACCAGTTCTGCGGTTCCTGTAGTGCTTTGTCAAGAAAACCTGCAGCAGAAACAAGGTTAGATAATATAGGAAAGAGCTTATTAAACATAGATCTCCTCAAAATCTAGCATAAATTCAGGATTCAATGGTAAGTGCTTATTACATAACAAAGATTTGATGATAATGCAATTAACCGTGTCAAATATCATTGTTACTGTAGTGCACATTAATACCAAGAAATCTCAAGAAGAGGAAAACTATAGATGTCTTCTGATGAGTAAATTCCATCTTCTGTCAATAATAGCTATCCTGTAATTTCTCTGATTTAGAATCTAGACAATCAGATGAAAGCTTCGACCTAACAAATAAAACCAGTCTAAGCAAAAAAATGAAATTAACGTAAAGCTAGAAAGGTAATTTGAACATGCGTAGATATGGAAGCAGATATAGTAGCGTATGCAAAATAACAATCCTGATAAAAAAACATCCATAAAACCGGGGTTACTGAAGGTCTCTTCAAGAACTTTGAATTGGCTCAGTCAGTCGCAATTAAAACATTTATGGCTTAACAATCTAGATTGGAAAGAATTTTTTTTTTTCTGGTTCATATTTTGGAAAGACTTCGAACAAGCACTGTTTGACATCAGCTAAATAAAGCACTCACCAAAACAAAGATCTTGGTAAAACTTCACAATCCAAAAACTTCCCACATAGTACAGAAACCTAAAAGATATGGTTTCATAGGACAAACAGTGTAGCCACTTACTTTTAAAATTTCAGTCTCGGATTTATACATTGGATCTCTAGGCGCATCAATAGGTGGCTCTGTTACATTGTAGGTTCCAAATTCACTGATTGCACATCGGATGTACTGAACAAAAAGTGAGATATGTAAGAAGTATGTGTACTCAAATTTCGTAACATTCTTACTTTGAAGGAGAAAGTAACTTGATAAGGGGATACAGTCACAGGCAAGAAGCAGAAAAATGTACACCCCATAGAGGACAATGGGGACAAAAATAAATCCCTTTTCTCCTAAATGTCTTTACTATATTCAAGATGCACAGAAAGGGTATACATACCTTCTGCGGCATCGGAGCAAGAACCTTTGGAATTGCATATATATCGGTGTCGGGAGGGGTAACATACATCTAGAAAGAACAAAAAGAAATATCAATCATCCGCAGAACTTGTACTGTAATGCAAACTTCACAACATTCCATGCGAGGATGTACTCTATTTAATGGCAAACATTGCCAAAGGATGTAGACAGGCTGGCACAAAAAGCAATACATTGTATTCCTGGTTACAGGCTATGCCCATCTTATAACCAATATCACCCTGAAATTCACTTGTTTACAAAAGCTACTTCCAAATATTGCGATTTGATAAGAACTGCAGAATAAGTCCAATACTCTGTACATCTTATCTTTTATTCACCAAAACCTTCAAGTAAGATGTTTAGTATCTTGGCTTAGACTAGGACATGTAGATGAAATTATATTTTATCCTGATCACATGGTTTGAAAAGATAGTTAGAGACAAAAGAGGAGCATATCAAGCTACATTTCTTCTTCTACAGGTCATCTGGATATTAAAATGAATGATACATATACACCCAAGTTACAGGTTCTCATTGGAAGGACCAGAAGTCAGCTGAAATGGCTGATCTTCTTAAGGTTCAAAATAGGTCAGAGAAATGCTCAAGCCTCACTCGTGAACCTCAAATGGACAATCTTTTGTTAGTTCCCAGGTGTTATGAAATACGCCAAGTTAGTTACAATTCTGATACACAAGTTTTATATCAGATTAATCCCTCTGTCCCGAGGGAAACCCTCACTCTAAATTCAATTACATACACTATGAGTATTTGTTAGTAGAAAAGACAAAATATAACATCACCTAATTCTTTACCCACCAAGAATTGTAACTTTACTGAAACGAGGTAAACCATCTCACTCTCATTCTCATAAGTGCATTGAAGATACATCGTCCGCATAACGCCACTATTACTTTAAATAATTACACCAGGAAAAACGATTTTGAAAAGTCAAAACACAAGACCTATCCTTGAGTTTGCCAGAGTTTCAAAAATGTAATAGTGAATTTAGAAGTCATTTATTAGCGGGAAGGTAAAGAGATACTTCCATTATGCTGATTAACCTTCCTGTAGTTACAGGAACAAAAAGGAAAGAGAAAAAGAAACAACCTCAACACAGACAAGAGTAACCCACCCTGTCCCAGAGTCCCAGGTCCTAACTAGTCAACTTCTAAAGTCGAGCTTTGCATTGAGTACCCTTGTGCAGAATTCCAAAAATCTTCAACAAGTGATCTCCCAGAGCTCCAAATTAGCTTAACAAGTGTTTAACTATGTTAGGGGCCTGAAAGCAATAATTCATTTATCTTGTCTACTTACGTTCAATACCATTCGAAAGATGAATGTCCAGACACGCAACTGGACCATTGACAGGCACAAACACAGAATTAAACTCTTGGATAACTCTCACCTAAAGCAGCTATAAGAGCATACAGAGGAACAAAATCATAGGATTATAATCTTAAAATCATGGTTAAATTATTCTACACACACCACCATGCAAATCATCTTTCTTATGAATTCCTCCAATTTCAGTCTTAACTTCAGTATGCACCATAACTGTAAAACTTCACAGCACTTTTTTTATTTAACTCGATATTCCCCAAAGGAAGAAAACCTTAAAGGCAATAGTGCATAACCTTTCAAACACATTCATTCAACACAAACAGTTAATCCAAATGTACAACTTTAGGAAGTAACAGTCTCTTAGCTGATTTAGCAATATACATAAACACAGGTACCTGAACTCATGAAAAGTTTAAGACATTTTTTGTAACAATTTGTAAGCATTTTCTACCTCACGGAAGTCGTACACGTCGTTATCGGGGTCCGGCGGTTTTCGAATAAAGAAGTCACAATCGACCAATGATATCTTATGAAACTCCTCTTCATTGATTCTATAGTCCACAATCTTCTCGGAATCCCAACCCTGTGTGGATATAAAGCTCTTACTTTGAACCGTCACGATATCATCGTCTCCATTTCCGGCGGCAGCAGCAGCAATCGCGGTGGCAATATCGTAGTCAACGTCGAAGTCTTTCTTGTTGTCCAATTCTTCCACTTCGTCCTCGTCCATGTCGTAGTCGTCAGGGCCCTCAATGTCACCATCTCCGTCGTCGGCCCAAGCTCGAAAGTCTGGCCGGTTTGAGCTGGGGGAAAATATTTTCCGAATTTGGGGTTGGTGGTTGAGGGAATTAGAAAGGCTGGGGTTCACTGTTATGGAAGTTAGGTTCGGTGAAGAATTATAGGAGAAAATTGGAAGCTTTGGTTGCGGAGGGAGGAGGAGGAAGACGGTGGCGCTCATGGAGGCCTGTGGATACGAAGAGTTTTGGTGAAAGATATTTGTCTTTCGGGGTTCAAATTCTAAGCGGATAACGTTGATGGGAACTAAAATGAACTTTTAAATTTAATCGATTGGAAATTATTTTTGAAACGAAAATTAATACTACGAAATAAGGAAGGTTAATGTCAAAAACCTCCTCTAGATTTGATCGAATATCTAAATCGTCCTCACGTTTAGAGAAACTAGGATTCTACTTCCCTCGCTAAGTGCGGGTGACCTGTCTAGTAGAATAAGATAATATATGAAGTCGGTATTATATATACAAAATGCTTAGATAATACATTTATCACGGTATTAAGGTTTAGTAAATATGTTGTAATTATATAGTTATCTAAGTTACTAGAGATAGATTAGTTTACCATATTTTATGGTGATTATCACCGTTCATTGTTGTATAAAACTAACCCTAAATCCCAACCGTTTTTGTGGCCTTTTCTCAATTTTCTTTAATCTTTCTTGTTATTGTATCAGTCGCAGGTGATCATCTTCTGTTGCCATGACTGAGGATTCCGATCAAGACACCGGCAAAGCTTCCGACATGTCCACTGGTCGCGGCTCCATCACTGAAACCTCGGATGAAGTCGTCCGACAGAAAACGATTTGTCCATACGACATCTCTGCCAATGACGGTCCAGGCTACATTCTCACCATGGTTTTGCTCAAAGGAGAGAGCAACTACGATGAGTGGTTCCGCTTTGTCAAGGCTGCTTTGCGGGGAAAGAAAAAATCAGGGTTCGTCAACGGGAGTATTCCGGAACTACCATCTTCTTCTCCGGATTATGATGACTGGTGGACGATAAACTCACTCATTTGTTCTTGGATCATGAATACCATTGAGCCAAGCCTTGCTCCACCATTACTCAGCCTGATACCGCCGATCTGTGGTTGGATATCAAAGAACATTTATCACAGATTAATGGTCCTCGGATTCAACAGTTTAAGGCTAAGTTGGCGAATTATAGGCAGACCGACATGTCTATGGCGGCCGGTTGAAGAAAATTTGGGAAGAGTTGGCCACGGTTGATCGCTTTCTGGCGTGTTCCTGCGGTCTGTGTGTGTGTAATCTCAAGGAGGAGGTAGATAAAAAGCTCGAGGAGGAGATAGTTCATAAGTTTCTTCTCGGCCTCGACGACTCCATCTACAGAACGACTTGATCGATGCTACTCTCTCAGGATCCGTTACCGCGGGTGAACAAAGTTTATTACACTCTGGTTCAGGCAGAACGAATACATCTATCGCTCAATCATCGGCCAATCCGACTGATCTTGTAAGTTTTGCGGTACAAGCAGCTGCTGGTTCGTCTCTTCCACCTGCTTCTGTCGACTCTACAGTCGTTGCTGCGGCGACTATCTCTTAGCAGACTGGTCATGGTGCTCCTCTTCATTGTTCTCATTGCAATTGGCCGAATCATGACATTTCTACTTGCTACCAGATTCATGGATACCCTGAGAATTGGCATGATCGATCCCAGTGTTCTTCTCGACGTGGAAGGGATCGTGGTCGTGGAGCTGACTGCTGTGTTGCTCCTGGTGGTGCCAGTTTGACGCCGAGTGCTGTTATGAACTCGGTTCTTCACGGGGAGAAGGCCAATGTCGTCACTGTGACACGGCCCAAATATTATCAAATCAAAATAAGTATTTGACCAAATAATTTTGATGGATCTAGGCCCAATTAGAATTTTTGGGTCAAGCCCAGTTTCGGAAGATTCTAGAATATCTTGGAATTTTCTAAATTCTTGTGAAATTAGATTAAAATTGTATAAATCAATATAGAAATGTCTAGAAGGCTCTAGAATAGTTTAAAATAAGAGATATTGTAGAATTGATTAGAATAAGAGATATTGTTCTAGAATAGTTTAGAATTAGAATTATCTATAACCTTGAGGGCTTAGGTTGGCAACTATAAATACCCCAAGCCCCTCTTTGTAAACCAAGAGGAGTTTAAGGTTTGAATTCTAGTTCATAAGTTCTCTCAAGCTCTTTTTAAGCCCTTATCCTTTCCTCCTTCATTTCTTTAACCCTTCAACTTTCTGGTTCTTTTCAAGAGTTTTAAAGGTTTTAAGGGTTAGGTTGAGCTAGCATTCATTATTAGTGGTCTAGAGTGCTAGTGTCGCACGGTTTTAACTTATAAAAGGGTTAGCCCGTGACAGTTGGTATCAGAGCTTCGGATCGATACATACGCTTCTGCTCGTTATTAAATTTTGTGCATCATGTCTAGTCCATTGGAGGTTGTTCAAGGTGTGGAGGTTGAGGGTTTTGATCGTATTTCTTGTGAGCCAGAGAGGACTTATTCTCGAAGGGGAACCCACAAGGAGAAGTTTGTTACTCGTGAGCCCGTGGTCGACTTTGAGAAACGACTTGCTAAGGTGGAGTTAGGCGTGACCAATTATTATGATCGTTGGGAAGAGCATGCTTCTACGGTGGAAGTTATCTCTAAGGAATGCATGGAGCAATTCAAGGGTGAATTGCAAGAGATCATGCAACAAATGCGTGAAGAGATGCTTGGGGCACTCAACAAGGTGTTTGAGAGGGCCACTAAGGCTTATGAGGAAAATGTAGCCAAGGTCACCATGCTCCAAGAAAAATGCAACAAGGTGATGTGCTCAAACTTAGGGATGAGTTTGAGACTTATCGTGCACAAACCGAGCAGCTCAAGGTACGAGTGTATGCTCTATGTACACAAGGGACGACCAGAGTTGGAGGGCCAACTTCATTGGTCGATGTACCAAAACCAGATGTATATACTGGTAGCCGCAAGGGAAAGGATGTAAAGAATTTTCTCTACGGACTTGAGAAGTACTTTGGCGCTATGAGCTTGACGGATGATTCGGTAAGACTCTATCAAGCCTCTTGTTATTTAACAGCTAGTGCTCTATCCTGGTGGAGACGTATGATGAAATCGGTTGGAGAAGGAAGACCGGCCTTCACCACTTGGGAAGGATTTTAGAAGGAATTCAAGAAACAATTCCTCCCGGCTAATGCTGAAAACGAAGATCGAGCTAAACTTTGTCGCTTACACCACAACAATGGCCACATCAGAGAATATGTGCAGGAGTTCTCTGATCTTATGCTTGAAATTCTTGATCTCTCACCTAAAGAAGTTTTGCTTACGTTTAAGGACAGTCTTAATCCTTGGGCTAAACTAGAACTACAACAGAGGGATGTTCGAGATGTTCAACAAGCTATGCGAGTCACGGAATCTCTTGTGGAGTTTCAGAACAATAATAGTCATAAAGGACAATAAGAAAATTTTTAGTGATACAGGTGGAGAAAACGACATGACCTCCTATCAAAAAACATTTGAAGGAGCAAATAGCACCTCCAACAAAGAGAAGTCAAAAGCAGAGACACAAAGAAAATTTGAGGGTTGCTTTCTATGTGGGAGATCTCATTTGGTTCGTGACTGTTCATCTCATAGTAAACTAGCCGCCATAGCTCAAAGTTTCCGTGAAAATAAGGAGTTGGGACGCAGGGCATCAGGAAAGATGCCCCATTCAGGTGGGGGAGAGTGACACGGTCCAAATATTATCAAATCAAAGTAAGTAATTTGGCCAAATAAATTTGATGGAACTAGGCCCAGTTAGAGTTTTTGGGTCAAGCCCAATTCCGAAAGGTTCTAGAATATCTTGGAATTTTCTAAATTCTTGTGGAATTAGATTAAAATTGTGTAGATCAATGTAGAAATGTCTAGGAGGCTATAGAATAGTTTAGAATTAAATAGAAATTTGTAGAATTGATTAGAATAAGAGATATTGTGCTAGAATAGTTTAGATTTGAAATTATCTAGAACCTTGAGGGCTTAGGTTGGCAATTATAAATGCCCCAAGCCCCCTTTTTGTAAACCATGAGGAGTTTAAGGTTTGAATTCTAGTTCATAAGTTTTCTCAAGCTCTCTTTAAGCCCTTATCCTTTCCTCCTTCATTTCTTTAACCCTTCAACTTTCTGGTTCTTTTTAAGAGTTTTAAATGTTTTAAGGGTTAGGCTGAGGTAACATTCATTATTAGTGGTCTAGAGTGCTAGTGTCACACGGTTTTAACTTATAAAAGGGTTAGCCCGTGACAACTGGACTTAACGACGAACAACGACAAACCCTCATCACTTTGTTGCAATCGCCAAAACCGGTTCTTCCGAGAAGCTCTCTGATATATGTTGGTCTCGTTTTTGGATGTATGATTCTGGGGCTTCTCATCAGATGTCTAGCAATTTGGCTTATTTTTTGGATGTTCGTCACATCAGTGGTGTTTCGATTCAACACTTTTGCTACTAAGGCGAGAACCTTTATTCTTAGCAGCAAAGTGAGATTACATGATGTTCTCTATGTTCCCCAATTATTATGCCATTGATTTCTGTCTCTCAGTTATTACACGGTTCTCATTATATAGCTCACTTTACTCATGATGTTTGTGTGATTCAGGACCGTGCTTCGATGATACTGATTGGAGCGGGTGAGAAATGAGAGGGGCTATACTTCTTTTAAGGCTGTGGAGACTGCTGCTGGTTTACAGACTGCTAAGATCTCCTCCTTTAATTTGTGGCATCGTCGATTGAGACATCCTTCTCTTAAGATTCTCGAGTTAATTCCTTTTGTTGGTTCTCGCAAGAATAATAGTTTGTCTAATATGGATTGTGATGTTTGTTTCCAAGCCAAACAGTCTAAGGAAAGTTTTCCTATTAGTGCCACTAAAACTTCTGCCATTTTTGATTTGATACATCGTGATGTGGGGCCCTTATCGTGTTTCTACTTTTTCTGGTGCTCGTTATTTCATAATTGTGGTTGATGATTTTTCTCGTGTCACATGGATTGATGTGGATTTACGGAGTTTAAGGCCTCCCTAAAATCCTAATGACTTTTACGAAGTTGATGGTAACTTTTGTTGCAAGGTTTTTTTACTTGTTTTTGGTAATTTTCAAATACAAGAGTTTTACTTATAATAGAAGTAGCATTTTTAGTTGCTTTCCCAGTAGGATATAATTTTGATTATTTTAATATTTTTCCAAATTCAATTAAGGTTTTCTTGAATTTAGGCTTTGCTTTGTAAAGGCCCATTTAT